GTGGTGAGTCACGAATGCAGGGGGGTTAAGAGTAATTTGTCATTTGCAGGCTTGATGAAGCTAGTTGAAGATGTTGTTAAGGTAAACTCATAAATTGATGAAATTGAGTTACATGCATTAATTAGTACACCCGGAGAGCTATCACGCCTAATCATCAAGGACGATGGGGATGTTGCATTAATTCTGCTAGAACAGAGGAATGTTCCAATTGTGTATGTCACTATTAAGGAACACCAAATAAATGTTATGTCACATGAAGAAGCTGAACAACATGGTAATCAGCTCAATCAAAATGAGATTTACAATGCTTCACATATACCACAACAATCGGTTCGTAACCCATAACAATGGGAATTGATGTATGCACAAGAGTTTGTATAGCTTAGTAGACACACGACATTTATAGAACAGTTGACTACACAATTTTGATCAGGATGTGCATCGAACTAATTACTTGCTTCTGTCTAACAAATGAAACGACCGGGTGAAATTGTAGAAGCTGTAATGCTATTTTCAAATGAGAATATGACACTTGAGGACAACATTACAACGTTGGAGGGTGACAATGCGATGCTCAAGGATAATACTTCATCTGATGAAGGAAATTAGGATTTGTTCTCTGCTAGTGAAGATAAATTTGATGACAATTCAAATGATGGGCTTGATGAATGACATGATGACAGTTTAGATGATGACTGGCTTTATGATAGTGACATTCCAATTTGCAATAATGTTGAAGGCGAAATGAAACCTATTGGAGGTGTTGATATAGGAGATATTTAGTGTGATGACTCCATATACAATAACCCCATTGCTAGTGAGAACAAGATTCGTTCCTCTGATACCTTGCTTGATGACAGTTATCAAGAAACGGAAGATGTAAGGATATCTCATACGTGGCAAATTTCAGGTGCAGAAAGGTTCTCCTTACAAACAATTATCATTAAAGAGTCGACATGTGCCAATGATCACTTACACAAAGGAAGAATGTTTTCCTCGAAGGCCGAGTTTAAATGAGTTTTGAACATATTAGCTATAAAAGAGTAGTTTAGGATAAGAGTAAAAAGGTTATGTGAAGGTCGTTTTGAGGTTGGTTGCAAGGACAAGGAGTTCAAACGTTCCAGAAAAGTACACTCATGTGCTGCTGATGATTTGCAAGGGCGATTTAGAACCTCGAGTGTGAAGATAATTGGCGAACTTATGTCACACAAGCTTCAGGTTAATGGAGCAGCATTGAAACCTAAGGACATAATTAGTGAGATAAGGGTTCAGTAGGAATTGGAATGCTTGCATGGTAAGGCTTGGCAAGTGAAGGAGTATACGGAGAGGCTTGTTTTTGGTCCCCCAGATGAGTCATTTCAACTACTACCTTAGTATTTTTATATGTTGGAACAAGAAAATCCTGATACTGTTGGTCCCAAATAAATGTGCTAGAGGGGAGTGAATGGCACTTTTTGGCTCTCACTAAACTTAATTTCTAATTGGGAGCAAGTAGAAGGTCTATGATGAGAAGTTCGATGCAAGATAAAGGAATGATGTGACAAAGAATAAAAATGAAAAATAAAATAGAGCAAATAATACATAAAGATTTATAATGGTTCGATCAAAGACCAATATCCACTACCTTGATTGTTCAACCAAGGATCTTCTAAACCAAATCACTATAAATGGTGAAATTCTCAAGCTTTCAACAAGCTTTTACAATGGCTTTTCATAGGCTCAGCCATAACTTTTAACAATAGTTTTTCCCAAGATCAACTAAAACCTAAAACTAACTTTTCTAGGCTGAGTTAGAACCTATACACTCAATCAAGCTAACCCAAGCTTGAGTAATCCCCTTAGAGTGACTCACACACTTTGAGTAATCAAGGAGAAAAGAAATAAAGAAGTACTTATCATCACTAACCTAATTTGAATGGTACAAAGTGAAGTGCTTAACTCTATTAGTATGTAAAGAGTTTTACTATTTTTGAGCTCTTTTTGATCTTAGAAGCCTTCAAAACTGATTTATAGTTATTGAGAGTGCCTTATATATTTGAAAAATCAACTCTAATGGCTGTTAGATAGATTTTGACGGTGGGAAACTGTTTGAAGACAATTCTAACCATTAATCTATCTTCTAGTGCTTAAATTCAAATTTTCAGATAAAATGCTCTTAGTTGACTAACATTGCTCCTTAGTTGATTAAGTCGTTTACATCTTTGAACCTAGTTTCTGACAGTAGGCTTTTAGTCGACTAACAATACTTCTTAGTTGATTAAGCCATTTCTGTCTCTGAATTCAGTTTTTGGCAGTAAGCTCTTAGTCGACTAACAATGTCACTTAGTCGACTGAGTGTTCTCTGTTTCACAATCTGCTTGAACCCGTCAACTTCTCTTTCGAATTTTATCCAACCAACTCCTTTGATTATCCAACAAAGAGGCTTTTATTTTATCGCTCAATTGTAGCTCTTTATTCTTATTAGTTTTGACATTTGCTTTTGAATGATCAATATATTATTTAACATTTATTTTTATCTTGCACACTCAATTAGAAAAGTTAGACATATATAAATGGGAATGTTTTATTATCATCAAAAACTAATGGAGCCAATAAACACAGTTACTACAGTAGCTATTGATGAGGCACAAAGATTCAAATATTGTTTCTGGTTAAATGGGGCTTGTATCCGGGGGTTTAGGGATGTAATGCATCCTACAGTTGCAATTGATGCGACACCTCTGAAAGGTAAGTTCAAAGGTGTTCTGTTTGTCTTTGTATGCAAAGATACGAATGAGTGTGTATATACAGTTACGTTTGGCATAGGCCTTGTTGAGGATGAAGACTCATGGATGTGATTTCTTAGCAAGCTGCGTGTTGTGATTGGTTGTCCTGAAAACACGATGTTCATTTCTGATCAACATCTCGACATTAAGAAAGCAATCCAAAATGCATACCCAAAAATGCATCACAGTTTTACCACTTGAAGAAAAACTTTAAAAACAAGTTCAAGTGAGACAATGTTTCTATGATTTTCACCCTTGCTCGAGATTGCTATAAGATTTTCGATTTCAACAAACATATGAACCAACTCAAGCAGATTTATGTTGGAGCCTAAGCTGACCTTATGAGAATAAGCCTTGAGAGATGGGCACGTGCACGTTCATCTACAAGGCGATACTAACTCATGACATCCAACATTGCGGAATGTGTTAACTCATGCTTAAAGCATGCAAGACAAATGCCAATCATTGTTTTAATCGAGTTCATCAAAGACATGTTCCAACATTGGTTCCATGACAAGTACGAGGAGGCCGTCAAGGTGACCACACCTCTTAGCCCTTAGGTTACTAGGCAATTGAACAAATGGTTTTATGATGCACATCGCTTTGTAGTTAAACCTATCAATCGAGTGGAGTTCGAAGTTAAAGACGGAAGATGGATGGACTTGAAAACTTGTCTAGGAAGACGTGTTCATGTTGTGAGTTCCAAACAGATTTACTCCCATGTAGCCATGCCATTGCAGCAATAAGGTCAGGATATCTTTCTTTTTTA